TATATATATATATATATATATTTAATTTATTTATTTATTTATTTATTTTTTTTTTTGTATGTCTTTTTATGTTTGCTTTGTTTTGGGGTTTGCATGGCAATTTTGACTTTGATGGTATTTTTGGGTAGCCTTTTATCCTTTCTGTCATGATTCTGGGTTGCAACTGTACAGCTTTCATATCATTTCCATGCAATGTATGTTGATATAATAGTTCTATAGACAGATTTTATTCGATTCCCTTTCATATGATTTACTTTACAAAATTAATGAGATTGATATGTGTACATTACAGATAATTAGACCTTCGACTTATTTACTTTTTCTGTTAATGTAGACTTCAAAGCAATTTACACCAGCTTACTTTCAATATCTTTACCTGTCTACTTCATGTCAATTTTAATGTCTCTGAAAAAAATATAAAAGAAAGTTATGACTGTTTTGAATATTACTTTACAGTCTCCTCAGATTCTGAGCCTCAGTTGTGGCCAAAAGCCAAGGAATACATGAGAAAACACCGCCATAGTCATAAGTGGAAGAAATGGTGGAAAAAGTACTAGAATTCATATATATGCTGGGGAACTCTTTCTTTTTTCAAATATTAAAATGTTTGATGAATTTTACCATAAACAGCTCAGGCAGACTGATGTTAATGAAGAGAAATGTTGCTGTAAAGATGACATTTTTCATCTTGCTGAATTTAGAGTTTACAGCCAATGGAAGCACAAATTACTGATTCAGATGGTGTTTTTCNTTTTAAAAAATGCTAGAGAGAACAATGAGACTCCTAATTGCAAAATTGCATTTTTTTTTTACTTGAATACCACCCTTAGGTGCAGTTCTTTAATTATTTCACTAAGTACAGTTTTGTTTTCAATTTAAAGATAAAGAAAGGGTTTGGTTGGTCCAATTCTCAGATAAGCAGTATATAATGTATGTTCCTATATAACCCTGTCAAACTAGCTGAATCGATCTAACTCCAGTCTTAATATAAGTAACATTGCCTGGACAATATGGGCATTGCCTAGACATTATGGATGGCAGCATATAGACTTCTCTGCACATTCCACCTCAAACATATGGTCACTCTCTATATGAATTTTTTAACAATCTCTGTCCTGAGACAGTTTCATAATTTTGATTTTATATGACATTGCATGGCATATCTTAGGCTTCGTTCACATGGAAAGTCTATTCTCTAAAAATCTATTTTCTATTCGCGGTATATCTTGTGATCACTATAAGTTACTATAAGTAACTGGCTCGCGCTGCCAGTAATTACGCCGCGGGATATTCAGGGCACAGACCGTGATCATAAGTTAGCGCGAATAGAAAATAGATTTTCAGAAAATAGACTTTCCATGTGAACGAAGCCTAAGTCACATAGAACTGTGTATGTACAGTATATATTGTTAACTCACTGTGTATGTACAGTATATATTGTTAACTTAGAGAAGTGACTTGTCATTTTATACATGTTGGTAAACAGTGTGTATCAGTTCAATAGTTGACTGTTTTTATATTGAAGTAACACGTCTTATTCACAGATATTTGTTTAAAAGTTTATCTTATGGTATTCTTATTATGGACACAAGTTATTATGTTCAGTTCAGTTTGCTTCGTGGTAAGTCGGCATGACCAAATAAAAAAGACTTTTGGGATTTTATGAATATTCATGATTATAGCAATAAAATATATTTCGAAAGACGTATTTACAAGTGATATGCATTATTTGTAAAAATGTCCATTCATATGTCAATCAATCTCTTGGAATATGGCTGGTATGGAGCTCCCTTTAGTGTTGGAGTTCGATAGAAGGTGCTGCCACCTGATGTAGAATCAAATAGTGATTTATGACCTGCCATCTATAGGGTGATTGACTAGTCAGTGCATATATCCACTTGAATGGAGGGGGAAACATTGTCAGAAAGATCAGAGAGTCACCCAGAGGCAGAATTTGGAAATTTTTTTATTTCTTGATTAGTTGATTAATTTGTTTGTCTGTTTTTGTTGGATATTGATTTACGTCCTGCTTGGCATAGATACAACCTTTGGCTATCTAGATGTAAGTCACTATTTGATTTACATCGTGCTAGCCATTGATTGTATCGGGTTGAGTGTGTTGGGTTGCAAGAAATTCAGAACTATTATTTGTACAAAAATGAGTAATTCGGCATTAGCAAAATGATGATAATTAATTTTTGCCAACCTAGATTGTATATTTTTAAGTGCATAATTAACTCTGCATAGCTAACAGAGAAATTTGCCTGTTCCAGTTTGCCCTGCTGGTTACCATGGTCATGACTGTAAGGAGCCATGCAGCTGTCAGAATGGCGGTCAGTGTCATCATATGACCGGTCACTGCACATGTCCACCTGGATGGAGGGGGAAACATTGTCAGAAAGGTCAGGGAGTCTTTTGAGGCAAAATTGGAAATTTTTTGATATCTTGATTAGTCGATGAATTTGTTTATCAGTTTAGTAATGATTGTTTTATTTTATTTCTTTTGTCATATAGTTAACTTATTCTGTGTAATTTTTTTTTTTTTTTGCACATCTATCATTTCACCAAATAGCCATCTTTATGTGGAATTGAAACCATTCGCATATATACATATTAATATATATATTTGTTTTAAATGGGTTACATCGATAATCCTGTCAGTCATGTTTAATATGTGAACACAGATGTAAATTCAATGTTAAGGAAATGATTCACGTTTTCATATTGTAAAATGGTTCTTGATTTGTTATTATTTTAATTGCCTTGTTAATAAAATTCAGTCATTAATTGCTTTTACATCATTTTAAGATACATTCATGCAGACAGAATTGTTGTAATTTATGTTGTCTTCAAATTTTAATAAACAATGAGGTAATGCTGTGTTGTTACAGTATGTGTACCTGGCACCTATGGAAAAGACTGTGCTGAGAAATGTCGGTGTCCGAGAGGCGAACCTTGTGATCATGTGACAGGGGGATGTGACTGTCCAGCTGGATTTGAAGGACTGGCATGTGAGAAGCGTGAGTATTACAAACATATATACATATAATTTTTGTACATGCAGAGAGAGGTCAAGTTGAAAATCAGCTTAATCTGACCTTTTTTTGAAAATTAATGCCTTTTTTTTCAGCATACTTTATGCTTTTTGACATCCTTGATAAAATAAATAGAATACTGTTTTACCTGGTATATGTATGTATATTTGACAGCTTTGCTGCCTTCTTTTTAAAAATTCATTTACTGAACCTACAAGTCCACTTTCTTGCTGGATGTTATCAGAATCACAAAAAGGAAATAAGGAAGAAAATAACAGTATTTGACAAAAAACTAAATACATGTAATTGGTGACTGTAGAAATGGAGAATTATTGCTGTCTAGTATTCAAACCCATGTTTAGATTTACTGAATATTTAGAAGTAAATGCAGAATGGAGAGAGTGCTATTGAAACATAAAAGATTTGCGTAGAACAGAGATAATGTTTAAGAAACACAAAATCAATGCTCTTATGTTTTAATATTTCAGCATGTGAGGAAGGGAAATATGGCAGCAATTGCAAGGAGACGTGTTCCTGCCCCAACGAGAACTTCGCCTGTGACAGCAGAGAGGGCGAGTGTACCTGCAAACCTGGATTTTTTGGCTCAGACTGCCATGGAGGTATATTGTCTTAATTAGGAACACATACTCAGGCTTAATATTATGATGATATTAAAATCTATTCACTTGTAAAAGCACAGGGGTTGAATAATTCTATTAAAACGGATATCAAGTTTATTACAATAATTTTTGATATCAGTACAGTGATAATTTTACCACTTATGCTCTTTTAGAATTATTTACCAAACATTTTCTGAATGAGTATGTCACAGAAAGGCTTTAGGTTTAGTGTTTTTCTAGCAAAGTATAAATGTTTATATATGCCTTGTATAAATCAAAATTGTATTAATCATTCATAAAATTGGCATAGCTTTGGTTAAACGCAGTGCTGAAAGACTGTTTAAATCTAGCATCATTAATTTTGAAAATGAACTAATTAAGTAATCATATCTTTTTCAGGCTGTTCAGATGGAAAATACGGCCCAGATTGCTCTTCTGACTGTCAATGTGAAAATGGTGCAAAATGCGACCAGAGCACAGGCGCATGCACGTGTGAGCCAGGCTGGATAGGTTCTACTTGTAACGAACCATGCCCCATGGGCACATACGGAGCGAACTGCACAAAGTACTGCATGTGTCAAAATGGCGGACAGTGTGATCCTGTGACTGGCCAGTGCATCTGCCTGGGTGGTTACCATGGTGATAATTGTGAAATGGGTAATTTTCACTTCTGACTTTTTTGGTAAAAAATTTCAGATGATATGAAGTGTGAAAATACTTAATTTTGAACATTTTTTGAGGTAAAGCAGACATTTAGTTACCCTTTTGTAATAAAAGGCTTCTAACTGGCAATATGTTACAGAATTTAATATATGTGTGCAGTAAAATGAATAAGATGAATTTGGACTCTTTATGAAAATAGTCTGAAGTTTCTGTTAATCTTTGATCTTCTGTAAAAGGAAAGAGCAAAGAATTCACTATCTAATCAAATTATATATTTTCCCACCAGCTTGCCCACCAGGTTTCTGGGGAGAGAAATGCCTGGAAAAATGTCTTTGTGAAAACGGGGCCCGCTGTGACCCAGAGACTGGTCACTGTCAGTGCGGCCTGGGCTGGACTGGTCAACTGTGTGACCAGGAGTGTCCACCAGGGAAGTTTGGGGCTAATTGCAGCAAGAGCTGTGATTGTATGAACGGGGCTGTCTGCCATTCCGTCACTGGGTGTTGTCAGTGTACTGAGGGGTGGTATGGACAGATCTGTGAACATGGTGAGTTTTTTAGAATAGTTGCAAATCTTTAAATGCAAAGTGATAATTTGATTTAAAAGTGTCAGGAATTGTCATTGAAAGCCTGCTTCTTATAGAATCAGAAGTTGTTCTAGTAGAATGACACCAGAAAATAAGGACTGTAGCAGAACAAAAAAATCCAATCAAGGGTTTATTTATAAATGTGAGTTTTTAATATTTCGCAAAAGTTTAATATTTGCAAAAATGTAAAATGGTTGGTTACTTGATAAAAAAAATTGGTATGAATTGTTATGAAAGTTGTTCTGATAGAATGACACCAGTAGACAGGGACAATTTCAAAATTCAAAAATATAAAGTGTTTTTGTAAATTTGTAAACAATACATATATCAAAATGTTTTTAGCTTTTAGACCATTTTTTTTTAGCAAGGGATGCTTTAAGATTATGGACTGTTATTTATAAGTAAATTCCCATATTGTTAAAATTATGTTCACAACCTGTCTAACTGATCACCTTATTCTTGGCTATGTTATCAAGACATGAGTTCTATTTAAAAGTGAATTCTCACTGATGGTAATATATATTTACAGCCTGTCCCCCTGGGTTCTTTGGCAAGGACTGTAACATGACATGTGACTGTCAGAATGGCGCCAGGTGTAACCACGTCACAGGCCAGTGCACCTGTGTGCCTGGATACTTTGGTGACAAGTGTGAAAAAGGTGAGAAAATCTTGATTTAAAATTTACTCAGTTAAAGGCTGTATTTTTCAGTTTTTTTCTGATATTCTGTATGGAAAGTCATCTTCAGCTTGTGATAAAGAAAAAAATATGAAAAACAATGCAATAAATAAAGGTGTAATGAAAACGATGAGGGGAAGTTCAATTAATTTCTATTACTGAAAGTGACTGTAATATCAAATTGCTTTTCAGTATTCATTTTCCACAAACTCTTCTATGAAGTATGAAATGAAATATGTTTTCAACTGAAGTATTCAAAAATGTTTTTTTTTTTTTTTTTGCTTTTATTTATTTTCAGTTTGCCCCAAAGGTCGCTATGGGATGAACTGTTTAGAGAAGTGTGAGTGCGGGGAGGATGGAGAATGTGACCCACTCACGGGAGAGTGCAAGTGTGCGCCAGGACATGCAGGACTTGGCTGTTTAAGTTGTATGTTAAGTCCTGCTGGGAGTGTTTTTTTTTTTTTTTTTCAAAATAAAAGACTTAAGATCCAAAACTGGTCTTAACTTTGAGATTGAGAATTTGCACAAACTTAGCACATAAAACTGGTCTTAACTTTGAAATTGAGAATTTGGGCAAAGGAACTAAGACTCAGTAATTGAATTATTGCACCAGAAATTGTATATACATTTACAACAAGACATGCACAATTGTATCAAACACATATATCTAATATATACAGCTATGCACAACACATTAGCAGTAAACATTGAATAAAATAAATATGCATCATAACAATAATAATAATAATTATTATTTTATGTATTTATTTTTTTTTTACATTTATTTATTTAATTTCAGCATGTCGGAGAGTTCACTATGGTCCAAACTGTCAGTTAACATGTAACTGTGGGCAAAGTGACTACTGCGACTCCGTGTCTGGCAAGTGCATATGTCAGAAAGGATGGGTGGGGGCTAACTGTGATACTCCTGCAGGTGAGACAGCATGGAATTAAATCAATCAATTGAACTAATTTATCAATCAATCAATTGATTGATTAATTGATCTATTTATTTTTAAGTGTGACTTAAATAAAAGAAGTTTTATCATATTCAATTATTCATACATGAACTTGATGATGAACTGCCATATGCCTACAACTTTTTTGATTGATAAACTTGTTTGATTGGTTGATCTTTGGCTTAATTAATCATTCAGGTATATGAAATTAACTGTTCTTTTTATGAATAAAATTTTGTTATCAATGACTGAAAGATACAACACTGTCAATCTTTGGGTGATGTATGAATAATTGAATATTTTATGATATTTTTTAACATTTCGGTAGATCAAATATTAATTGATATAGATTTTTGTAGATTTGGTAATAAGTAATATATTAACTGTTACATCAATAACCCTCATAATTGTAACAAAATGGACCCTTCCTTCCAACACAGTCTTTCCTTGGCTTCCATAATACAGTGTGCAGCCTGGACCATGAAGGACCATCGTAAAGCAAATTTGGCAATAGATATCCTGGCACCACCTACCTCTCAGAAAAAAATAAATAAATAAATAAATAAAAATAAAAAAGAATTAAATAAAAAAGAAAGAAATTTAAAAGAAAATTAAGAAAAAAGATCCATGTCTGAAATTGGTCCAAAAAATGTTTGTGGAAATAAGTATTAACTTCACCACTCTTGGAACTTGGAAATACATATATATTTATTTGGCTATTATTAATGTAATATCTAGAGATACTTATGTGCTAGTACATCTACGACAGGATTTTTTGGAAGATGGCTCCTTATGAACATATGGGCTGCACAAATGGTCTTGATTACCTGCTACCCCCACCCACCATCCCAACCCACCTATAAAGCCTCAGCCAGTTCATACAGGGCATTCAGAACAAGTTGATCCATAGAATAAGATCGCATTCACAATGAATTGAGGCAGGCTTTACAAATCCTGGGGACTAAATATGGCGGACGTACATGAAAGAAAAACCGCCTAATCTTTTAATAGTCTCCCCGCCTCTCACACGCCTCCCCATGTGTAGTCCCAATGCAGCCGAGATATAATGACTGTACCCCCGCAGGGACGACGCGTGGGGAGGCGTGTGAGAGGCGGAGAGACTATTTAAAGACTAAATATGGCCGACTCACTTAAAAGCAGCTACGGCTTACTTCTCTGATGGCCTCCCCACCTCCACACATGCCGTTACTGTTTTAAAATGGAGTTGGCCATATTTAGTCGGCAGATTGGTTAGTTCTGCAGATCCTCTGTTCTGAATGTGCCCATACAGTGAATAAGGTCACACCTAAAGCAATGTCCTTCTCAGCTAACACATTTTATGAACTTGGACATCGTATACCTGGTTTATCCAACATCAAAGTCAAACATTGTTTTTTATTTCAAATGACTGAAATTGCCATTCTTTTAAGGCTGTGGATATTTCTCATCAGACCCACGTTTAAGTGCAGATGAAGCAATCAGAAAATCATCCAAAAGGCTAATGAAATGTTTGGAATGGGTTTTTTAATGCCTTTTGTGAAACTCAAGTTCTAGATTTTTTTAACATGTCAATATTGGTAAAAGGCAAATATGATAAGTTTGCAGATAATCAACATTCATTGACAAGATCTTAATGATCTTGATTTATTTGGCTTCTACAATTTCTGAAAATTACGAAGAGTTAAAATTTATGCATGCGTTAGAAAGGAATCTTGATAATACATGTAGATTGACTTTGCTTTATCTGGACATTTTTATTATTATTATTTTTTTTTCTTAATGTGTCATGAATGATTTTGAAAAGGTTGATCAATTAACACTTGTTTCAAACGAAATGCTGTCTCTACAGTGTTGTCCAAAAATCTGCCTTTGGTTTGGGGTAAATATTCATATTATGAAATTGAGTCTGACATATAAACACAAGCTAACAAGGTGCATATATATTCAGTGCTGTAGCAGCTAGTATTATTTGGGTTTTGCAATGCACGTTTGGCTCCAGCATTAATCAAATGAGATTTTGCTAGTATTTTTTTTTATTTTAACTACCAGAATGCATTAAAATAATAGTACTTTGGCATTTACTTCTGATCATTAACTGAATGTCTCAGGAAATTTATGTTTAGTGCTAAGATACTTAATATGTTTATGAAGATTAAAATCTACCTTGTTATATTTTAAATTACTTAAAGAATTCAGTGACTATAATGAAAAGGTTATGAGAGGGTAATTGTAAATTAGAAAAATTAAAATAATGAGTACATTTGATACATTAAATTTTTTTACTCGTTTGTTTTAATATGTAGGTAAAACAAAGTGATTTTTGTTCATTTGGTCATTTTTATGCCATACTTAACAGATCTGATACAATGTATGACAGTAACACTGCATATGTTTTATCTATACAAAATAAAATGTAAATTTATTAAAAAAAAGCCCACTGAGATAGGCATTGGCAACGGCTAGAAAAAGTGTGGATGTAATTTAGACAACTACTAATTATGTAGGTTAGCTAGCTAGGTGACTTAATGTTGAATAACACATCAGTACATCTAGCTATTTTAAACTAAGATTAAATTGCTGAGAGAAACAAGCTGGAAAATGTGTATATTTATAATGTATATGGAGGTATATAACAAAGCATGAGTTTTTGCATATTTTTCATTGAAAAATGTCAGTTTGTTGTTGACAGGATTTTTTATTTGTTTTGGTTGTTAACTTAAATAGAAAATTTGTTTTTTTTTTCATTTTATTTACTTTATATTCACATGATTTTGCACAGTTTTGCTTCCTTTAAATTAATCACGTTTTGCATATAGTTCACATCATGCTTTGTTTGACAGCAACTTCCCCTTCGCTTTCAGTCTCCCTAAATATTAAGATGCATTTACACTTTGTTCCTTGGACCGTTTGCTAACCAAAGTAGCACGCAAGTCATGTGACCTCTGCACAAGGATATGTTCTTAATGCACCTGACATCCTTACTGGTTGCTTTTATGACCTCATGTTACTTTGATAAGCATAAGGATGTGTTTACTACAAGACTGACTGACTCTAAATTATCTTAGTGAATTATCACGTAATTTAAAACAAATCCTCTGGCTCTGCATGCTTAAATCAATGTTTTATTCAATGATTCCAAATTCTTTGATTTAAAATTCTAAGAAAAAAAGAGAGATTGGCATGATTTTGAAAATATTTTAATGAGTATCAAAATATAAAGAAATGAAAAAAATTTAAGGAGTTTGAAATTTGTGAGGAAGTAATGTATCTGATGTCAGCAGAGGACTTTAAAACATGGGTTTGCCTTTAACACCTATGAGCAATCTGGTTCTCTGGTGACATCATATGGGCAGATTCTGGTTTAAGTTACATCAGTTGTAAACACAAGTCTTTTTCCAAGAATGTGTAAATGTCTTGTTTTAAGTTAGATAATAACAAATTAACAAATTACCTGCAACATTTATCTTTTCACTTAATTTTAATATAAATATCACACATTATTCCTCGTGTAAGTTTTTTGTAACCAACATTTTAAGTTGTTTTTCTCACAATTTACTTATTATAATAAAGAGTGCAACATAACTATTTAGAATTTAAAAACAATAAATGATCAAGTAACATAATGAGTGTGATTTTTCAAACATTTGAGTTTTAATTTTATTTTTGTTTTATTTTGAGTTTGATAGCCTAACATTTTTATTTCTTTTGTGAAGCGGGAAAGTTTGTACCTGGTAGAGTAACATGGGTAAGCAAAGTGAAACTAATGTTTTTTGTTTTTTTTTATTCTTTATTATTTAACTTTAGTGATTTTTAATGATAGATATAAAAACTTTTTTAAATAAAATCATTTCTAATAGCATAGTATTACTGATGTGTTGATAGAGATAGACTTGATAGCTATCAAATACACCACTGGTGAAAATGTTGGAATTTACAAGGTTACTTCTTCAATCAGACAAGTTTGTATTTGTACTGCAAATATTTGTAAACAAGCTAATAGCTGTTACTCAAGCTGCTGACGATAGTCAGTTACCCCCTAGTAACTCAAGGGGACATGAAGACAATTAAGCTGATTACACTTTAAAAATAGCGAGTAGCCCTGCAGTGTTAGATCCATCCAGCTATATGGTGGGTTTATGGGAACGAAGTCTAATAAGTAGCTATTTGTGGTCAAATATTTGGCAGATATTATTAGTATATATGGAAATTTAGGCCCTTACTCAATGTCCTAATGTGAACTAGTCGAGATACTAGTAGTTACCAAATGCATGTAGGTGATGGGATGAGGTGTTGACTTTACTAAGTAAAACATAACAAGTTGGCAAAGGATACCAAAGGGCTATGATGGCAACCAGAAGCTTGTTGATGGCAACATGGTCTGTCATGGCAACTTGGTTGGTCTTGCTACCTTGGTTCATTTGGCACCTTGGTTGGTCATGGTAATGTGACTGGTCATGGTTATCTTGGTCATGGTACCTTGGCTGGTCATGGTGCCTAGGTTGGTCATGGTGCCTAGGTTGGTCATTGTATTTTGGTGATTGATTTATGTCCTGTGAGCCTCTATAAGAAATTATTTATATCATGTCCATCTAGTCTTTGCTAGTATTACGTGGCAAAGTTGATGTTTTAACACACAAATATGCACACACACACATACGCCTCCTTGATATTCCCCTAAAGTTAAGATGAAAAGAATATTGTTTTAGAACTATTTGTCCTTTTTAAAAATTACGTACCTCATGGTTTTAAAAATTAGACATTTTTTCAATTCTAGGAAACGGGGAACGATTTAGACGAGGACCACAGCGGGGAGACATTCCTGGACATCTTGGGGGATAAGCTACAGTAGTGACACCTATACTTTGAAAATTAGGACCATTTTCAGTGCAGAAAACAAGCCACAGTAGTGAAATATTGGCCAGCAGGTTATAACAATGTATACTGGGACTTCATGGAGAAGCAGCAGATATTTTTCATACAGGAAACATTAAATGAAGGAAGTCATAACTTCTTCTTTGAGGTGCAGCTGACTTGAGAAAATCAGCAGTTTCTCACGGGAAGTATTGAAAGCAAGAAGACACGAGTTACAACATAAAGTGCATTTGCATTGAAAAGCTGTGAAAACTTTTTGTGTTTGAAAATGTGTGACCATTAACTTTGGTCTCTGGTATGCCGTTTACTTTGAGATCCATGTGTGACATGGAAGAGACATGCAAGCACAGTTTAAAAAGGGACTCTCTTGTACATAAGTGACACCTACAGATGTGATGGACATGCACTGGTGACCCCTATAGTTCAGATAAACTAAGCAAGAGGAACCTTTTGGTGCATATTGGCTACTCTAGGGCAATACAGCACGTAATAAACTTGTGATATGGTGTTTTGCCGTTCTGCTATTTTAAAATACTGAATAAACTTACATTGTAACTCTCCATATGGAATCTGTGGCACCCTTTGTGTTCAATGGAGATGAAGCAAAAAAGCGAAAATGAACATGCTTGTTTCCAAAGCATTGCTATCCTAATGTGGTATCCTACCAAAAGTGTTGTCATGCCAACAGCTTTGTCTCAACTGACACATTGTCACACCCAACATACTCAAATGTGACTCCATGCCATATACAGCACTCTGCTCATCCATAATATTCTCCCATCTTCTCCCACCTATCCCATTTTGCACAATCTTTTTCATTGCCTCCCTTGTGCATGAGAAAAGTGGTGCAAAGCTTGTCACGCCTGGACTTACATGTTGTATTATATTGTAAATGTATACCTGCAGAGTCAGTACTATTGTATATTATAGCAGTATATGGGTAAATTGCTATAATTTTATATATACATTATATATACATTTTTTGCCAATGCTTTTCTCCCTGATATTATTATTATTATGTAGTTCTTTTCAAACTTGCAGACACTTTGTCTACACAAGAATATATTGCCAAAGAATCATGTTTGAGAGTAGTTGGGTTTATTGTATTATTAATACTATCATTGTCTTAGTCTAGTTTAAGTTGAAGATACAAAGGGATTCTTTTGTATGTATTGGGTAGTTTAAAACTCATTTTGTATAAATTTTACATTCTCCCTTTGAACTATTTTATTCTTTAACCTGTATCAATCATTTTCATAATTTTAGAAATGTGAAATGTTTTTAATTATAATTATTAATGTATATTGAAATTCTTATTGTAGTTCCCTATGAGCTTCTAAATGCTTAACAATGCTCATCTGTGTAGGAATTAATATGTTTTTTTAGTGTATTTATTCTTCTTGTTTGGTTGCTGAAAAATCTAGCTCCTGCAAAGGTACCTAGGCATGACGTGACATTTAGACTACACCAATTACACATAAATTGCACAAACGGCAAGTTTAAGAGCACATTCACAACAGATTATCCTCGGATATACTGGTCTGGGGATCAAATATAGTGGACCCTACATGAAAGCAAGACCGCCATATCCCTAATGATCACCCCTCCTCCACATGCACCTGCCCTGCAGAAGCAAAAGTTTAATCCATGTGAAGGCGGGAAGACCATTAAAGGATTAGATAGTCTTGCTTTCATGTAGGGTCTGCCATATTTGATCCACGGACCAGTAGATCCGAGGATTATCTGCTCTGAATGCGACCTTACTTGTCATTTTCATCTATTCTTCTTATTATTGCATTTGGAGATATTTCCATTGTACCAGGTACATGTAGTAGTATGTGCTGTAGAATTGTGAAATTGTAATTTTAAGGAATCTTCATAATGGAGCAGATATATATATAGGTAATTTTGTGCTGCTTCAAATGTAGTTGTTAGTATGAAAAAGATCTGAAAACCCCACTGTTTATTTTGCAAATGGGAAAGCTTCACTTGTTTGCTGTAATACACTGGCGGATAAAAAAGAAATTTGGTAGGGTGAGAGAGGGGTCATTTCTTGGCAGAAATCCAGTAATGTAATAGTCGTTTGTGATCAGCACTTCTTATGCCCCCCCCCCCCTTTTCCCCAACCACCAATTCTGTCTTGATGTACATTTCACTTTGGATTTCCACACCCATATTCAATATAATACAGGATAAACCAAAACGGAATCTTATATAAATATATGTAATTTAACCGTAATATGACATTTAACAGCCCTAATAAGTTTATAACACTGATCTGCCATTGAATTCCGCAAACATGTTGAAGCAATGTCATTCATATGCCAGTGTAAATGCATTTAAAGAATAAAACGTAAATGAACATTACCTCATGGATAAATATAGAAGGAACTTTGTGAACATTCGTCGGATCTCATTCTGTATCAGTGTATATCACCTCAGGGGTCTATGTTCCCAAGGGCATGCAGGAAGAAAGATGTGTGGCAAACCCCATACGAAAAAGTCCAATAGGATCCTGTAGGACTTTTTCGTATGGGATTTATATATACGAGTCACGTGAAATGTCTTAAACCACGGTTAATACATGGTCAGGGCCGGTGTAACGTGACAGAGTCCCCCCCATGATAGAGAGTCAGCTTCCCATTCATTTGTACAGGTAAGCCTCGCCCTAGATTGTCTCCCACGTAGGTCAGGCTAACCCTAACCATTATAACAAAATGGAGGGCGGGTTTTCTCTTACACGGACTCTCAGTTTCGTTATACCGGACTGAACGAACACTGCCGACATTATACAAGTAGCATATGCCATATTCATAGATGTAATCTTTAACTTGATGCTGACTATTGGGTTATGTGTTAACACGAAGGAAATGAGAGAGAGAGAGTGGAAACTTAGGTAGAATATGCAAGAAAAAGTAAAATATTCACAAGATGCGAAACTGCCGACTTGGTTGCTTTGTTCATTGGCGCCAAAATTAACAAGCATCACCAGCTCAGCAGTGCGCCATCTGCATCCACTAAATAGAGATTATTACTTACTTGCGTAACTTGTTGCCATTTATTTTGGTGCCCTCCTGCTGTGCTTTTGATATGACGTCACTGAAACTGGTTCATACTTGGTTTCACGTTACCAGTGCAACGACGTCTACTGGTACCTTGTCTAACGATCACGTATTTATTGAAAAGTTAATTCTTATCCAGCAACACTGAGATATGCTGGTGTAATTACCAAGTAATATTGTCAGTTAAAGGGATAATAACTCTTCGTTTTGGCCAAAAAATGAATTTTCCTGGAGTAAACAACAATTTTTCCATACTTACCAATGGTTAATGAATCCATTTTTACATTCAAAGTTTGTCCCTAGTTTTTTTTTCTAAAAAGTTTGTTTTTTTGTTAAAATCTCTTAAGAGATTATAACAGAGTATAGCCATCAATGGAGGTCACATGATCTGAAGACAAGCTCAGATATCAGAATAATAGCTATAACTGCTGTTTTTGTTGTAAAACAGAATATATTATATTTCTGTGAGTTATTCACATTTTTTTTTTTTTTTTTTTTTTTTTTGAAATATAGACCTCTTACGAAGAGTTATTATCCCTTTAACGCACAGAAATATAATTTTGTTTTACTTTGGTGATAGGATCTGAGTTTACTGTTGTTTTGAATGACAGTTCGTTTGTCTGAAAAATAAAAGTAAAGTGGCCTAGAAACAGGCTAGTCAAGGGAGAGTTGCCTGTTAAATTTACAGATATAGAAAAGTACAGTTACAGAAAAGTGCGCAAATTGTTATAGATTATCATAGTATTCATATTTCTTTCTGTTTGAATCCATATATTGTGTGATATACCATTTAGTATGTATATACATGCACTGTACGAGTTAAAGATAGTAATGAGATTATACAGGTGTAGTCACTGCTTAGAGAAAGTGTAAGCCGTTTCTTGTGCTCGACGTGTATTAAAGTCATAACCACACTGGTAAGTGTTTAACTAGTGAAAAAGGTATTGCTTCAGATATATAATTCAGATATGTAATTTAATCGATTGTACTGTAATCAGTTAAAACTGTTCTTCAAAGAGACGAAATACAATGAAATAAAACGGTTTTGATACATAACATTGGTTGTTCTGTGTCTTTGATATGAAGCGTTTGTAATAGTTCTCAATAACAATTCTCGATATACGAAATCTAGGGAGATATTCGTCTAGGTATATCGCCAAAAAAGATTCCGTCTGTTCAATTCCATTTTTTAAGACAAAATGATAAAAAATTTCGTCTTAAGTCTATCAAATGAACAGACAAAAGTAAGTGTTTAACTTAAACGTAAAATCACCGTTAACGTTATAGTAATTTGTTCTAACGGACTAGATCACCAATTAAAATACGCGGAATTTCAACCCTGGTGTCACGTACGAACGAGTAAGAGTCCCCTGCGATACAGAGTCTGTTCTACATAATATGTTTGCCTTCTTCACTTCTTAATGTATAACCTGTGTCACGTACCTGTATCCTAGGAGTTTGTTTATTATAGTATATTTACGACGAAACGTTATTTATTTTTTCATTCGACAAACCTACACTACAGAAAATTGTTTTATTTATCTAACCGATTAAACGTTTTTTATTCGTAGTTAGTTAGATAGTAATTTTGGTAAACAAATTGAGAAATACTAAACAGACGAAAAACGTTTATTTTCCATTTTTGAATTAAAATGTGCGGCTCAACTGTGACATTTACAGTAATATTCGCTAAAACTGTTTTTCAAGTTCAGGAAATTTTAAAAGTTATAAAGACTACACTACGCAAAACCTATACATACACTTGTAAAACAAGATGATCGACTGAAGACCACAAGATAAAACTTTAAAGCCAACGAGACAGCGAATTTTCAAAAGCCAACGAGACAGCGAATTTTCAAATTTGAAGAGATGATACGCCTTTTACGCATCAAAGGAAAAGTAAATATCAACATGCAAATTATGAGGATTTTAAACATGTCACTCTACAGCATTTCTCCTTTCATGGCAAAAGTTCTCAAAAATTTATTGCCATTAATGTTTCCACAAACTGAGTTCCGAGCAGTTGACCTGTTGTGCAACACAGCATCACACATAGGCATGGGGCATGCAGAAATGAAGAAATTGTGGAGTATGCAAAATGCCACAAGGGGAAATGCTGAGGAATGTCTAAAACCAGTTTTGAGCATGCATGCGTCAGAATACTTGTCAAAAATGAATAACAAATAAGTTAACATCAAATTCTTACCTCAAGTATCTTCAAACGTTAAATTGAATTGGTTGGAATTGACATATTCGTATCTTTATATCAAGACCGCCTTGTGTCCACTCCTTGGTCTCTCAGAACTGACGAAGTGACATCTCTTCCTTGAATACCGTAAAGGTTCAATAAAATTCGAGGGGGGGGGGGTGCAGGATGAACTGGGCACTTTTTCTATTCAA